TTTGGTCAATTTTTATTTTTCGAATTACTTTTTTCATATTTTTATTAGGTGCGTCTCACTATGATGTACACACGCTCCAAATTTTAGATCATTCCAATAAGTAAAAAAAAATGAAAATTGAAACACTACCAGACAACTGTGACCGTACGATGAAGTTTGGATGGTGATGAGGATAGGCGAAATCACTGTTCATTTTCGCCTATAGGTGTTTTGTAGTATATCTCATTATCATTATATGTAGATGACATTTTGTTAACTGGTAATGATATTGGCATCATTAACCATACCAAGTCATGGGTAACTTCCCATTTTTAGATGAAAGATATGAGGGAAGCCTTATATGTATTGGGCATTAAAATAAGAAAGCGTGTCGAAGGAGGAGGAGGAGAAGGAGAAGGAGAAGGAGCCGAGGTGATGGGGTGGCTCGAAGAGAGGAGTAACAAAGCCGAAGCCGCTTCTGAACCGGAAGATTCGATACTGATCTTTGCGGTCCAAAATGAAGGAAAGGAAGTGGAGGCAAAGGTCGACCTAAACGCAATTCATCGGATGGGGGCTCACTGTCTTTGCATGAGGACTAAAACGTGGAGGATGAGCTGTGGGATTCGGGATGAGCAGTGAGATACTAAGATGCGTTGTTTATTGAGATAGAAGTTCGAAACTTCTATGTTTATCTCAAGAAAATTATTTAGAAAGTATTTTAAAAAGATTTAAGATGGAAAATTGCAAGCCCATATATACACCCACTTGTAAAGGCTTAGAATTATCAAAGAAAATGTATTCATTAAATGATAGTGACAAAGCTGAAATGGAAAGAATCTCATGTGCTCAATCTATAGGATGCATAAATTACGTCATGTTGTGTACAAGACCTAATTTAAGTCAAGCATATAGTCTTGTGAGTAGATTTCATAGTAATCCTGATAAGGCTCATTAGCAAGCCGTAAAAAAGGATACTCACATATATTCAAAAAACTAAAAACTACAAGTTGTGCTTCCAAGCTGATAATTTAGAAGTTACTAGGTTCTCTGATACAAACTTTGCAGGAAACCCAAATGATAGAAAATCAACCTCAAGACTTGTATTCCTCTTTGGAGGCAGATGTGTTTCTTGGTCTTGTAAAAAACAAGGTTGTGCAGTTCGGTATACTATAGAAGCCGAGTATATTGCTTTTAGCATTGCTACAACGTACACCGTCTGGATTAAACGTTTCACAAATGATTTGAAGCTGGATATAGCTGACGGACCTGTTAAAATTTTTTGTGATAATCAGACTGTCATCTCATCAATTATAAATGGAACTTATAGTTCCAAGGGTAACACATTGAAATTGATTATCATTATATTTATGATATTATTGAAAAGAATGAAATAACTGTAAGTTATTTGTCATCTTCAAATATAATTGCAAACCCTTTAACAAAGGGATTAGGTGTGGAAATATTATCAAAGCATTGAGCTTTGATGAGACTTAGGAATATCTAAGTCTGGAACTCCCAAATGGGATATTTTTCTTTGATGTCTTAATTATAAGAGGAAAAGCTGTATTAGTATGAAAAACCCCATGAAATGACTTTGGATATTTTTTGTGTTATGAAATGCATAACCGCACTAGCGTGAAAAGCCTCATGACAATTATATAATCATAAATATTAAACGCACTAAGTGTTATAGACTTTATGATATTTCAATGTATTTGGCCCTCATGACCAATTAGGAGATGTTGGTACGTGTGGGTGGCCATGGAGCCTCATATGTGAAATATTTCTCTCTCTTTATCTTAATAATACATTTTAATATTTATTACTAAAAATATTTTTTAGAGAGAGAAGATACCTTTGTCTAACTGGTAGAAGATAACTACCTATTTCTTAGGAAAAGAGAGTCACTTTCTCAGATATTCCAAGAGGAAAGCCGAACGTTGGAGAACGGCCTCCTCCCATCCCTCTATAACTAGGGTTTCATTGTTATAGAAAGGTACACAGAGAAAGCTTGAGTTCTCAATTATTCCGGTAAAACCTGATCTATGTGATTGACAGTCTTACGACATTGCCTTCGATTCTTAAGACTTTAGTAGTTTTATCTCTTCCCCTCAAAAGTTCGAACATAAAGGTTATGAGAAAATTAAGAGGAAGAGACAATGATCACTATGAATCAAGCATGGTGACGATAATTTCTTTGGCATTTGCTAGGCCATCAAACTCCATATTCGCGTCCTTGTAACAGTGTACCAGTACAAATGCCTCTCCCGCTACAACGCCCCTCACTTTATATGTATGATCCATTAGAGTCAGTGTCCATGTAAAATCCGACCCGCTGAGCCACCTTGGAAACTCCAAGCATTTGAAATAATTTCAACAGAAAAAAGAAAATTTCAAGCCTCGCAATAGAGACTTGGCTTCAGCTTCATTGGCAGTAAGATTGACACAAGGGCCTGAGTAAGATAAGAGCAATATCTCTAATGACGCCTCCCAAACCTGTCCTTGGGTTAGCACCAACTTTGAGCTTCACACTTCCTTCAGGATGTGGCTGACAGCCATCTGGTTGCATTTAGATGCTCCTGTTATGACAATGTAGAAGTACGAATGCATCTCAAAAATCCATCAGAAAAGGTTGTTTTAATGTTGAAAGAACCTCTAATTGATCATCTCGACATCGAGATGCATGAATGTGTAAAAAGAAAGATTTTGAGTCGCAAAAATAATGTATCTTGCAACACATTAAGTAAACGTCCATTTTCAAGATTTTCATATGTTTACTACATGATTTTAATCATTTTTTGAGTTTAAAATTTTATACTTAGATATGAAAATACATTTTTAGATAATACTAAGAATTTTTAACACCAAAATTATATGGTACAATAAAATTTGGGAGTGCGCCTTAATTGGGTTGTTTAATGTTACAACCTTATTGAAACCGTACCCTTTTTTAATTTGAAAATTATCACTAAAGGGCTTAAACTATCTCACAAAATCATTTAATAGCAGAAAATACATTTCCCATGAATGGTGGGGTATACCAGCTCCTAAATTGGTGGGGCCTACATGTACAAACATGTATTGATTCCTCATGGAATATTGATTCCTCATGGAAATAT